TAGATAGATAGATAGATAGATAGATAGATAGATAGATAGATAGATAGATGATATATTAGTATCTCAAAAGCAACAGGAAGATAAGGTAGTAAATAGTGAGCCTTTACGAGGTTATGTGTTCGTGTGCTGGTCTTGAAATTGATCAGAGCTGGGATAAGTTCCCAAATACACAAAATTCCTGCAGATTTTGTGTGGTGATTTTTTTTAACTCCAAAGAGGCCAAGCAGGGCTGCTTCTCTTCTATTGCAAATTGTGTTTTTCACTTGCATTTGTAATAAGAGCCCTTCACACTTTAGCTCTCATAGTAGTGCTGCAAGATCAGGGTACAAAGTAAAATCGAAGAGGTCTGGTCAAACTTGAATTTAGAGAAAATGAATGAATAACTTTCTTCTTAAGAATAAGTTTTTTACATGCAATATTTATTTGAAATACATATTTGATTGATGCTCCCCTGTAAGTACTAAGTCTTGCAGGGAAGAAGATGCAACGACTCCTATGAAGTCACTAATTTTTATTACAAATTTCCAGGGGCTTTCCAATGTCTGAAATAATGACTCTGTGGTGGAAGCCTGAGGCTTGCTATTTGGACACTGTTTCATTGGCCTCTCTCTTCTCTTCCTTGGATGGTGCATGACTTGTATTGCATACATGCATGCAAGCATGAATGTGTGAGTGCCCTGCATTATGAGAGCCAGAATTGGTATATAAGGTTTCTCTTACAGTTGCCACCAAAAGAATATTAAGACAAAAAGATCTTTCCAAAGCCAAATTATATGGCAAGAAAATAAGAAGGGAGTGGTGAAAATTCCAGAAATATTTTAGAGTTATCCAAATAATCTTCCTGAGAATACGAGCCATACAGCTAGTTTGGGGGGGGGCGGTAATCAGGTATCAATCTTTAGAGCAAAGTAACTGAAAACAAGTAACTATTGATTTTTATTGAGTACAGCTGCTATTATTGAGCAATCAACAGGTAAGAGCCGGGTGTTGTGCTGGCACTGAAGAAACAGAGATAAAAGGACTGAGACTTCTTTCCTCATCGTTTAGTGAAGAAAACCAAAGAACGCACATATTTGAAGTATGGCATTAAAATGTGGACATTACTTATAGAAACAAAACTCCTGCACCTGTGTTTTCCTGTGAAACCAATTAGTAACACAGGTAAGTTCAGAGGAACAATCAAGTTTTTCATCAACATAACTCAGAATAAAATGATTTTTATTGAATTAAACATTTTCTTTACTTGGTTGTCTTCCAAACATGCTGGAGAGAAACCACACCTGTGAGGTAACATATTTGGGGTTCATTAAGCTTTGTAAAAGAAAAATATTAGTCTCCCCCCCCTCCATGAAATCTAGCCCACTGGTCCATTTTCCGAAAGAAAATACAAGGACACAGCCTTACGCATGGACACGTTGTGTTACGTCAGAAGTGAAGCAGCAACAGGTCATAGAGGGCTGAAAGCGGGGATGGTGGCAAGTTAGTTGCCTTTAAGCTACAGCTCTGTTTGGTTGCTTTGCTGCTTTCTTCACTTCCTCCTCCTCCTCCTCCTCCTCCTCTTCCTTCTTCTTCTCCTTCTCCTGCTCTTCCTCTTCCTCCTCCCAGGTTTGTTTTATTGCATTTTTATCACTTGTTAGGGACCAATCTCTGCTTTTCATTTGAGAAAAAGAAATGAACTTAACACATTTTCAAGTTGAAAAATGAAAGCACCTTAGAATTTCAACTTAACACACCCGGGCTACTCTGTGTTCCTGATACATGTGCTAATTACCAAATACAAAGCTGGGGGAAGTGCCCAGTGCACAGGAGCGCCTCACAGTGTGAGAACTTGGGTACTCTGAGTGTCCATATGCAGTGATGCCAGCAGCCGGCTGTCTGCAGATCAAGTGAGTGATGTCAACTGTGAATTCTTACTACATTATTTGATGGTTGCCTCATTTTTGGCGTAATCACACAGCTTTTAATATATGAGTCTGCATTAGAGCTCTTAAGTATCTGTTGGATGTTTCTGTCTCTTTAGTCTTGCTCAGCTCAGCAACCACTCAGTTCCTACTGAGGGCCTGTGTAAATAGTGGCCCACAAGGAGCTGTTCTCGGCCTCAGAGTGTTTTCACAATAAATAAGAAACAAGCAGTTGAATGCTGTAAGAATTACACAGAAGGCATCTGGCAAACATACTGGAACATGTCAATCAGGCAAGAAATTGAAGACTTCAATGTGGCAAAATGCTAAATCTTAGAAGATGCAGCGTTGACAAGAAGGGAAAAAAATCAGAAGGTTTTTTCCACTGGAGAAAACTTAAACAGTCATGAGAAGGGAAAGACAGCTTGATGCTTACAGACCAGAATAGAGGTTGGATTTCGCACAGTTTTGCTGAAGCATTACAGAGATGCCAGGTATCCGTGGACTATTTGATACAAAGAGCTTTGATTTAGTGAAGAATCCTTTAGGTTTTTGGACAGAGTGATACAGGAAGAAATGCCTTTAAGAGAAAGGAAATCCTGGAGGTCAGAAATTCAGTTCAGAGGCTCCTGCACATGAGGTAAAGGATGGTGAAAGCAGTAGTGGGAACAGAGAAGGGGGAATGTTTGAGGGGGAAAATTAAAAATATACCTCTCTTGATAACATAGAATAAATCATTGTCATTTATGTTAAAGGACTCCTATCTTGACCCACATTACATTCACATCTCCTCCCCAGCACAGGGTAATACTGAAGGAAGAAATTGTCATTTAACTCAATATGAAATTCTAAACAAAGTGTTTTTAAAAAGTTTGCATCCTGGAACTCAATGTATGGGACTTGAAAGCAAAAGTGCCTCCATAGCTTTTGTCACAAAGATCCTTAGGGTGACATGATGCCCTGTTTCCATCCGGCTCATCATCCTTCCCCAGCCATCAGAGATTGTTTATAGTTCTTCGTTCTCACCAGCAGTCTGCTTTATCTTTAACAAATTAGCACCTACGGTTTTTGAATTCCACTAGCAGATGGTCCTGACACATACAAGTCTCACCTCGAAACCGTTTAGATTTTTAATCAAGATGCTCTTTGCCCAAGTGGCTTCTTCCCCAGCCAGATTAAATAGTCTGAGGCCTGAGGCAGATCAACGAGGCTCGGGTGGTTTGCCTGTTGCAGACAAGCTTCATTCCCCAGGTGTCTCAAACTCCCGTATATTGCTCACTGTGAATTACAAGTACCAAAGAGAGAGGTTGCAATAAGCTCTTCATTGAAAAGGATATCTTGAAGAATCATTTCTTGTTCATATGCTATGGCTGTGAAAGATCTAAGAGGAAGATGGGTCTCTGTCCTATGCTAGGAGAATCAATACTGTGACCTCAGTTTCCATCAGCTACAGGGTTTCTTCTGGATACTCCCATTATAGTCCTATTAGATACCTGTCCTTCTTTCTATGGCATTGTAGGTCTTGATAATCTTTCTTAAATGCAGTGCAATTTTAAATGTATGTAAAGTGCTGTGCCAGGACTACGAGAACATTAGCTGACTCACTAACCATATATAATTTTTTAAAATGTTATGAGTGATTTTGCAATGTATGTCTGTGTATCACATGCATGTTAGTGGCCACAGAAGTCATAAAAGGGGGTCCAGATCCCCTGAGACAGGAGTTATAGATGGTTGTGAGTCACCATATGAGTGTTGGAAATCTAACCCAGATCTTCTGGAAGAGCAGCCAGTGTTCTTAATCTCCGGACCATCTCTCCAGCTCCAGAATCATATGTAATTCTTAAAGGTTAGGTACTGCTCTAGACCCTGCAAATAAAAGGATGCATCTTGCATGCAGAATGTTATTGCCCCTGGAGCACATGATCAAACAGGGAGGCAGCTAAAGTGTTGGGCACATCTTCCAGTACATAAGGCTCACAATGAGACTCCAGAGACATGATCTACCAACTGTTTTTGAAGCCTCATAGAAGAGATAATATTGGATATGAGTTCCCAAAGGATGATTGTCACAATCCAAAAATCAAGGAGAGTAAGTCCAAAACATGCTGTCAAGGTCACACGAACTACTTTGTGTTGCTTCTTATACACACACCAAGATTAGATGCTAGCACCAGCACAGGGATGGGGGACAGGAATCCTGTGAAACCCAGAAAATTGTTGGCTGCTAAATTTAGGGAGGTCTCTCTCAAATGAGAACTGCACATACTCAAAATGAACAACTGGCCTTGTTTGAGGGCAGTGCCCCAGCTCCCTTTTCTGGTCCAACATTCTAGAGTAGAGGTAATTTTCCAAAATGGTGTTTCTAGACTTCTTTTGCAAGACAAAAGACAGAGAATTTTAGAGTTGATTGTTTCCATCCGTTATTCTTTAATGGGGCAGTTTTCAATTTGCAATGTTCATAACAATTTCCCAAAGTGTAGTATGCAATCCAGCAGCATAAGACTTACTTGAGAATAGCTGACCATGCAAATTCTTGACTCCCTTTATAGAGATTCTTTAGCACCATTTTTCATAGATTCTTGGCCAGTTAGTTGGTCAAAAATAAATTTTTCCAACTATAGTAACACTCCCATGGACCTCAACTTCCTGGTCTGACCCCTAAAATCAACTTCATTTTTTTCTTTTTTGATTTATTTATCCATGTATTTTATGAGCTATGTCTTCATGCACACCAGAAGAAGGAACTTGATCCCATTACAGATGGTTGTGAGCTATCGTACAGTTGCTGAGAATTAAAGACAAACCTCTGGAAGAGCAGTCAAGTGCTCTTAACCACTGAGCCATCTCTCTAGGGCCCCAACTTTAGCTTTTATGATGGTCTCCTCTGTGTTACTAAGGTCTGCCGAGCGTGATATTCAGCTCACTGCTGTGCCCTTTCCTGGCTATTGAACTTTCTTATCCCCATTGCCTGTATCTTTAATATGGAGGCCACAATGTATACGACTGTGGCACAGCACAGACTTGTGAAGACCAGAGAGATGGAGCAGAGAACCTGCTATAGTGCCCTGACCCTCGGAGGAGTCCAATATTGGCAGACGTCCATGATTGCTCTGCCTTTCGTTCTCAGCACAAAGTGGTGGATGGTTATATGCTAAATCAGAAAGACCATGTAACAGATAGTTGGTACTCCTCGGATACCTCACCCAGAGTATCTAAACTAACTAAACCAGCTCTAAAGTATAAAAAAAAAAGTGGTTCATGGTGTCGATTTTAAGTGCCACCATCTCCTTTATTGTCTCAAGCTCCTTGCCTCAGGACTATGTGAAATCAATACCATTAGGGCCTTTTCTACTATTAACTATTCCTCCTCCCAGAGCATCCTTGTGCTTGCTTCTACTTCAAGTTCACTGCCCATCACAAAGGCTTATAAATATGACCTCATATATGAAGACATTGAGAGAATACATTTCTATACCATTATAATGTGTACTGAGATGACATACGGAAAACCCTAACTTAAGAGAATAAGGTTGAACAAAAACTAGTTGACCAATAAGTCATCATGAAGGCTCTTGCATCAAACATCTCTTTGGGAAGTACATTCTAGATCTAGCAATCACCTTCACAGCAGAATTATGTTCAATGTCTCTCTGTTGATTTCCATAGTATTAAGGAAAACCTTGAAAAATGTAATCCTTCAACAAACTCCTGTCTTCTCTCTTAATGGGGAATGATATTTTTAGTGTATATGTGTATGTGTGTGTATGTGCGTCTGTTCATTTATGTACATGTATATAGGCCAGAGGCCAGTGTCAGCGGTTCTCCCCAATCACTTTCTACCTTAAATTTTTAAGACAGAATCTCTCACTCAACCTAGAAACCACCAGTTTGCTAAACTGAGCAGCCAGCAGTTCCCATGGAGTCTCCCATCTTTGTGGCCAGAGTGACCAGCAGGTCCCATGGAGCCTCTCGTCTTTGTTTCCTCTGCACTAGGATCAGAGGCTGATGCTGCTTGCACTGTTTGGTTGCTGTTTCCTTGGTGCTGGTTGACCAGTCTCAGGTTTTATGCTTCTTCACCAAGCACTTGCCAACTGAGCCATCCATCTCCGTAGCCCCAGGCATGATATCTTAGTGCATGTTTTCAGTTACTTTGGCTGGGATGCTTCCTGAGACAGGCATATAGAACTGGACATAGTCTTTGTTTCCACCTCCACATCGCATCATCCCACACCCCAACACACAGACACAGTTCTTGAAAGAAGTATTCTAGAACTCGAAGGGGAAAAGCACCATGAAATGATCGCTTCCACTTGCTGCGGGAAAGACAGTCTTGAATTTGGGTTCACTCTGGATGGGTTCCGCTCTTTCTTCCCATCACTCTAGCTGAGAGTGCTACCGTTGGCAGCTCAAACCAAATGAACATGTGATATTAGCTTGAAAAACTGTCTCCTGTGCAAAATGTTCAAAGCAATTCATGCAAATTGCAAAGACTGGCCTGTATAACCAGGCTGGGTGATACTCTACATACTGTGGGTGGGAAAACGAGGCACCCTACTCAGATGTGTTCAATGTCCTGCTGTGAGCCAGGTGGTTTGATGAGATTTGTATACTTCAGGAGATGGGACATTGGAGACTCATGTGTCTGGATGTGTTGCCTCGCAATCAAATGGTGAGCTGTGTGTTCGTTTGACATTCCTCATTGCCAAGAAATCTCAGTCCTTGCCTTTATCATGGAGTCCTATATGAATTCTTTTCAGGATATCACAATGCCATTAAAACATGGAGTTTTCCATGACTTCAAATCCAGCCTCTTCCACACAACTTACAACTTCAATTTTGGTTTCATTCCAAGCAGCTTTCTGCAAAACAAAATATTTTCCTTACTTGTCTTTCAAGAAACACCTCATCTCTTTGATGGTTTTTATAATTGGTTTGAAGTAACTTTTAAATAACAATAGTATGTTTAGCAAATAAAAAAATAAGTGGAAAGGAGAAAAAATATTAGACTTATTTCCCAAATATTCTCTATTCCTTCTCCTCAGTCCTTTATAACACATAAAGTATTCTTTACATTCATGATAAAGTAACAGGGACATACTGCTTTAGCTTTACAAAATTCATTCCTATTATTGTTATTATTATTGATACTCTGCCAATGGAATATATCCCTTTGGCCTATGCATAGGTCTATGACTTTTTTCTTTATAATATCATAAAGTATTTTAAGTATATTTTATATTTTTGGGGTCATGATGTTGTTGTTTTGGGGACTGAACCCAAAGCCTTGTACATTCAGGCAGGAATTCTCCTTGGGAGATACACCCCCAGCTTGATGTGATCATTTTAAATATTTCCATCACATTCCACTCACCAATTGCAATCATATAAATTTGAGGCTAGAGGTAAATTCAATTGGTAGAGTACTTGCCTTGTATGTAAAAAGCCCTGACCTGGATCCCTAGCACTGAATATATCCAGTATGGATGTCCATGTCTATAATCTCAGCACTTAGGGAGCAGAGGCAAGAGGATCATAAAGTTAAGGCAATACTCAATTATATATCCAGTCTGAAGCTACCCTGCACTATATGAGACCCTGTTCAATAAAAGATAAAAAAGATTCTAGCAAATTTTGGAGCATTTGTGCTTAATTTAATTTTGAATGTAACACATAAAGCTAGTAATAGTTAGAAATTATGTTTAAGATATCACCTATAAAAGATCATCCTATTTTCCCTCATCCAACCATTTTTATACTCATTTCACTTTAGATATGCTACTATGTATTGGTCATAATCTGAGAAACACAGCAGACGTGGTTACTGAATAACATACTTTATATTATTTATAGTGGGCACAATGGAGGGAGAAACCAAAAAATCAACTAGAAACTCATCTCTAATAAGTTTGAAAATGCAGAGTGAAATCTACAAGAACAACAACAACATTAAAAATGAACCAAAATGTTAATTGCCTGTTGAATGTTGTAAAACAGTCTCTAAGCCAAAGTCTAAAGAAACAAAAGCCCGCTTGGCAACACACCAGCTCCCGGATGACTGCTGTCTTCCAAGCCCATGACTTTGAGCATTCCTACCAAGTATGGTGTTAAAAGTCACACTGAGCCCCTAAAGCCACTGTTTTGCTTCTGTGTGTTCAAACAAGGGACCTTGTTCTTATTATTCATTCAGACTCTGCAGCCTCCTCCACGGCATTTGCCATGTGTGTATTTGAAGTAATTTTAGGAGGATTTATAGTGTGGTGCCGAATGTGTAGAGTCTGAGCAAATACTGCACCATTGTACATCAGGGCTTGATTACCACAGCTTTTGACATCCACAATGGGTCTTGACACAAATCCTTACCCTCACCGTGAAGGACCAACTGTCAAAGTAGAGGACTTCATTTTCCACTCTTCAGGTGCTCTCTGGGGATCATAGTGCCAATAGCACTAATGGGCCTTCTTTTTCTTATATCATAATCCCCATGGGTGAAATGTGTGGTCGGAGCACACTGCTGTGTCACCCAGCTGTGGTCAGCTCTCCACTTGCTCACATGCAATCTTAGGTTAAAATCTTAAGCCATAATACTACATACAACACCATATAAAACTACATGCTTTTCAGTCCCTAATTCTCTGTGCCTCCCTCTTTTCCACGATCGTTCATGTAAAACTCTGTAATGGGTGCACAGAGAAAATTATCCTGAAAAGCCAGGTGATGTTGACATTAATCCTTTGCATATTCTGAAACCAGCCTGTCTACCCTAAGTTGTTGTTCTACACATGACTTGATTTTAATTAATAACAAGCCAGACGCTGAGAAAGTAAGCTCTTAAGCCAGTTTCACTCACCAAACTCAGAATATTAACAGAATCCTCCCAAGCTCTATAGGGAAATTCGATACCAACCTTCAAATGCTCCATTATGAGAACAGGACAAATGACTGCAGTGTCATGTCGAGCCTCAATGTGTTTTCCTCTGCTACAGGAAAGAGGAATGTACAGCGCACACTCAGATGAACAGAAGTAGATCCACACAGGACCTGCTCCTTTCCAAAGAGCAGTAGGTAAGCCAGCATGGGTGCGCTGTTCTCTCCAGGAAGAATACGAGGAGGAAGTACACTGTACCATGTCTTTCTGGACAGCCTCAATTCTTTACTTCAGTAATTTAGTAACTTCCCACCTATAAATCATTCCAAACTCAAACTGCAAAAGACTCTAAAAAAAATTTTTTTGGGGGGGGAGGGGTGGGTTACTGAAATTAACTATCCTGATGAGTTTTTCATCAGTCTGTCTTTTTCTGTAACTGGCCACAAGATGCTTCATCCACATCTGTTGAAAAACCTTCTAGATCTGTTAAGAAAATTCCTTGACCTAAATCAGAGGTCAGTAAATGAAGCCCAATCTGGCTTGTTATCTTTTTGTAAATAAAGTTTTATTATAACACAGCAATGTTTATTCTTTAGTACATTTTATGTGGACACACCCTTTATAAAAAAAACAATTCTGTCTTAAATGTTTATTATGTCTTTATAGGAAGAGTTTGTTTCAATAGCCACTTGACTGAAAGATAAGGTCAACAAAGTGCAATAACTATACACAGAAAATCTTAAAATGTTGCTAAAAGAAACTAAAGAAGACCTCAATATGTGGAGATGCTGATAATAGTATTATGATGTCACTTTATTCCCAGATTAGCCACAAAGCTCAAATTTACCATAGACTCCCAGCTTCTTGCCTTTAATCCCAGCATTCAGAAGGCAGTCAAGTGGATCTGTAAGTTTAAGAACAGCTTGGTCTACATAGCAAATATTAGTCAAGCCAAAGCTACACAGAGCCCTTATCATTGACTAAAACTTTCCCTAAATGTAGAGGCGATAATAACATCTAAAACTCATTACACACAGAGAGAGGTGGAAGGAAGGGAGAGGGAGAGAGTGAGAAAGATACATTCAGGTATTTGTTGGTGCATATATATACATAGACATACCACGAGAGCTTGACACTCACCCCAAGGCACTTAGAATATCACCTCTATGTGTCTTTAAACATTACCTCATAGTCAGTCACCACAAGGAGATCCTTAATGTTACTCTTAGGGGCTGGAACTGGTGGAAATAGCTTGATCCATATGTGACACCTAAAAACAGGGAAGGAATTAGGTGAACATAAATAGTCCTCTTGCCTAGATTTCTACTCAAACATTAACCAAATTAGTTCCATGTGTAACCATGTTATAAGTTGAGATTCTCTGTTGGTTAAGATTTCTAAACATCTTAACATCATTGAAAACCTTGGAAAGCTGCCAGGCTTTTGAGCTTCCTGGAGACAGGGAAGAGGAAACCCTAACAGTTTCACGTCCGGCTCATTGTCAGGTCTGACTTCTGAAGATGGGTCAGCGGCATCCTTTGCTTGACTTCTCATTCACTGCTCACTCTAGCTTTCCTCCTTCAACAATGACACATTCAGTTTCTTCTCATCTTTCCTTTTCCTTTAAACTACTGCCTATCACCCATGGGCATCTAAATATAACATGTTAATGAGTAATATCCTTTAATAGGAAGGTTATTTCCAAGTCGTTAGGCTAAAACAGAACTTTGCCTTAGTGATTAAGAGAGGAGGGGGTACAGTCATTTGTGGGCTGCAAGGTGGGATTTTAGATCTGTGCAGCCTGTAAAGAATCTGCATTTGACCTAAGGACAGCCACTCTGGACCAGGAGCCTGAAAGCCAGGCAGAGGTCAACCCTTGACTACTGAGACCCATACGTGATGGCAGTGTGGTGACTTCAGACTTGGGTGGACTGCTGACTTTTTATAGGAGATGGCAAAAGACAAGCAAGTACAGAAAGGGAAACTGTGAAAATAAAGAATACAGTGGCAAAAATCTTGGTAGCAATTAAAATATTGTTAGCAAATTTGAGGAGTGTGTGGTAGCCGAGGGCCATGCTGTGTCCTGTCTGTATGCCATGTTTTATTTCAGCCTGAAACAGCAGGCTGTAAATTCCATCTGATAATGAGCCATGTGTAAGGGTTGTACTGGAAAATCAGCCCTTGAATGTAAGGAATACCTACACTCTGCAGATGAGTGAGAAAATAAACAAGACAAAGCAAGCGGTTGCTGGAAACACAATGAGACGCCATTCTGCCAAGGGCTTCTTCTCCTTTCCTGGTGAGAGGGAAAGAGAGAGAGAGAAAAAGCAAAGTCAGAACCAGGGAAAATTATCAACATGGTAAGGATGAGTCATCAGAGGGGCTGGTTTATGTTGAAAGTGCTGGGGGGTGGTAGGCAAGGACAAGTGATTGAACACTGAGACTCAGGTGTCTCTTCTGCTGAAGGAGCTAATACGCATCCCACAAGGCTGTTATAAACGGGAAAGGAAACCAGGGCAGTGAGGCCTTATAAATATTATTGACTTCATCAGGAGTAATTCAGCCAATCAACCAGTGTTCTAGAGTCCACTTCTACCCTGTGCCGCCTGGACACGAGCGCTTAGAGCATGAGATGAGTAGTAGGGTCTTAGGTGGCAAAGCTCCAAAAGCAGACGGCTCCTAAATAACTTCATTACACTGCAGCGAAACTGTTTTTACCCACTTTGAAATGAAACTTTGAAGAAAGTATGAGAAAAAATTCAGTTAGCAGTGCATGTGTTAAAGTCTACAATGAGTGCTTTACGGCTGTAATTATCCTCAGAGCGCCTTTTACCCTCACCCCCTTTCCCACAGATCAGGAAGTAAAACGTTGTCATTGTCAGCACAGGAAGCTTTTTGCACGCCATCCTAACCTCTAATTTGTTCCTATTCTGTATTCAAGGGATTCTGCTATGGACTTTAAAGACTACATCAGACTGTGGGAGGGATGGGCGCTCGGTGCTGTGTGTCTGTTGGATTTTAGGAAGGCACTCCTGAAAAACCAAAGGTCCCTGACTAAATGATGTTGAGAAAAGTAGTGTCCTTGCTAATCTGCTTTACTCACTTTCAGAAAACAAAAGCAAATCCTGAGTTATATTCAGTTCTCTTTCCTGGGAAAAAGATGACTCACTCATTCTACATATATACTCACAGACATACATATGTTCATACATTTAGCAAGTGTCTGCTAGGCTCTTGTCAGGTATACAAGTTACTGTGACATGGGTTAACAGAGCACATTTGGAACCTCCCATACTACAGCTCGGAGTCCATCAGGGGAGATCTGCCGAAAGCAAAGTATGACTCAGGCCATGATTTCATGATAGCTGTACTATGTAGGCATTGTGGTAAGGTTCAAACAATGCTACATGTGAAAAAAACGGTTCCAAACCTCAGTTTGCTCTAATTTCTTCTACAAAACAATAAGTGCATATAAATGGCAATTTTGAGCATTTGTGACTATCTAGGTTTTCAACATAAAACAAAACAAAAAACATCTCAAGTCATTCAAAATGCACACACTGTTAAGTCTCACAGGAGACAGCTGTCTGGACTTAATGCTAATAGTTCTTGTTTGTCCCCATCTCTTCCTCAGTACCTTCTTGGCATCTTTGGTCAGGTTTCTTCTCTACCTTCCCAAAGCTTTCATCTCTTCTTTTCTGCTTTCAAACATTCAGGGTCCTTCATCTTGACTAGACTATGGCCCTGCTCAGTCATCTTCCACAGCTCTCATCACATACTTTCCGCTTTCCCTGCCCAGACTGGTGTCTTGAATAAAGATGCAATCTGCTGTGCTGTCATGCCTCAGGAACTATTTTTGCAGTCCCTGGTAATGTCTTCCTAGAGCAACACCAAAGACCCCTAGTTTCCTGTCCTGACTTGATGTCTTCTGATCTTGCCCAAAAATTTCTTCTTTTCTTTTAACATAATCTTTGTGGAAGGGTCTTGTGTACCCCTAGACTGACCTCAAATTCAATATGCAGTGGAGGATAGACTTGAAGTTCTGGTCTTCCTGCCTCCATTTTTTTTCCTGTGTAGTGCTCCACGACCCATAGTTTATGTCATGCAAGGGATCAAATCCATTGCTTTACGAATGCTAAGCAAACTCTCTACCAAGTGTGGAACATCACCAGTACAGCCTTTAAAAAAGTTTATTAGCATATATTAATTGCTCAAAATCTCAGGATTTATTATGACATTTTTATATATGCATAATATACTCCTATCATATCTGCCCCATTGCCATTTTGAATTCAACCTGACCACAACTGAGCTAAGGGAAGCCACAGCTCTTTACTGAGATGGCCCCATTCTTCTATGATACTTCTTTCTTTTAAAATTGCAGCTGGGCGCCTTTCAGTCCTTTCAGTGCATCCCTTGACTGTTTCTGATCAGTATGCTCTTTGAGCACTGAAGAGTGTGTTTGTTTGTCAGGCCTATCTATTTTAATTCTATGAAACACACAGTGTTTTCTTTTGTCCTGCCCTTGCCCTGACTTGTAGCCATAGGAATAGATTATAAAAATCCCCATAGCACAATCTCACAAACTCATTGAGCCTTTTGCAAACCTGAGAATAGTCACAACCAAATTTGTGTTCTTTGTTTCATCAAACCTGTTCTCAGCCAGGCACGGTGCTGCTTGGCCATAGTCTCAGAACTTTCATTGCCAAGGTAGAAGGATGACACTCCTTCCCCCATGGGCAGTAGGGAGAGCTTGCCTCAAAACAAACAAAAGGAATAAAAATAAACAACCAAAAATTACTTCTTTCACCAGCTTCTCCATTTCAGTCTCTGTCCTTCCAAGACCCAAACCCGAATCTTTGGCGCTACATTGACTGTTTCCAATTTTTATAGCCCCTGTTTCTTCTTCACCCCCTTCGTATATATGAGCTCTATGTAAAATCACACATGTAAAGCTCCATGCTTCTGATTCCTGCATCTATTCTTGCTTAGTCTGGAGATATGTGCTCTAGACCCAGCTTTCAGTAAAAGTGGACATCTTGGGGCTTGGTAGCCTCACCTCAAACCAAGTTTAAAACACAGGCTCCTTCCCATCTCTCCCTCACAGAAATGTTTTTTTTTTTTTGGTAGTATTTACTCTACCCAGGGCACCATAACATCATTACTCAGCCTTTAAACAAGACTAATTCTACAGAAGCAGGATCATTAACTGCTAATAGTTTGAAAGTTATAAAGTATAAAAATAGAAAAGTCATTCATAAGGATTAACTAAGAACTTACTCTCTACAAATATTTTATATGTCCTTTTTTAAAAAAAAAGTGGACAGACATATTGTACACTTTTAATTTACTTCCAGAAGCCACTGTGTAAATGGAAAAACTGAAGTAGAGAAAGGGGGAGAAGTCACCTGAGGACGAACAACTCTCAGCTAGGGAAACTAGAAATGAAGCCTGGGATTGGCTAATGACTGAATCCCTAAATGTAATGTAGGGTTCCCAGTGCATTCTTCTCCATCTGTAAAACCGAGGGTGTGCTCTGTGTGCTGGGGCTTTACTTAGTGTATTCTGGGTGTCTCTTTACTTAATGTACCCTATGTATTTCTTTCGTTACTATATTCTAGGTGTGTATTTGTCATTAAGGAGCGCCACCGCCACACCCCAGCAAGACTGCCTTTGTTGCTGGATTTACTTCACTGTAGTAAAAGTTGTTTTGTGTCAGATTATATATTTACAAGCCTCCTCTTTAACTGATGTTGGCTGCTCTGCAAAATTCCAGTGTCCTTGACCTTCCCAAATTATCAGTCAGACTGAATCAATTTATTAAAATCCTAAGCGAGGGCTGGAGAGATGGTTGAGCAATTAAGAGCTTATACTGCTTTTGTAGAGAAATTTGCTCCCCCAAACCCACATTAGGTTATGTAGAGTCATCTAGCTTTGTAGAACCATCCATGGCTCTGACTCCAAGTGATCTGATACCTTCTGGCCACTGAAGGCACCACACATATGTACATAAACAAGCACTCAGACATACCCACATACATATACATTAAAAGAAATCTTTAAACCCCAAGTCTTTCTTTTCTTTACTTAAATGTTTTCATGTCTGTTAAAGGCAGGCATTAGCACACCCTGGAATAGTGAGACATATCTGTCACTCCAGGATTTGTGGAGCAGAGGCAGGAGGATAATCACAAGTCAGAGGCCAGCCTGGTCTACATAGTTAACTTCCAGGCCACTCAGGGCTGCATAACATGAAACTATTTGCTGTCCCTTGTTTTTTTTCTCCTTTAAGAAAGGTGTGGACAGTCACTAACCATGTTGTCTTTTCATTCCTAACTATGATACAAAGACAAACAGCAAAACTTTGAGTCTGTGAAAAGAAGAAAATGTGTTGTAAATATTATCATGGTCACACACTCAATAATTTGTGGCTCAAATTGTACAATACCCACTGGCCTGATATGCCAAGTCCTGATAACAGTGCCGTTTGTCTTCTGACCATGATTACAAAAATCTTCAGTTATCCCACTGGCTCATTTGCCCTACTTCTGACTTAGATAAGTGGAGGTTATCAGCGAGTAAGCAAAATCATGGCGGTAACTGATTTTATTTCACCCAACTAAAAAAGAAAGGTCTCACTATATGGAAATTACTGTGTAGCAAGCAGAACCATGGGCAGTGCTTGGAAGGAGTCCACCATGTGAAGACTAGAACTCATGTCCATGAACATAAGCATTGTGAGCTTCCCCTTAAAGGAAGTATGCTGGCAGGAAAATCCAGTGCAAGAAAACATGTTCACTTACTGTTGAGTAAAAGTGACTTGTAAATTACCAGCAGTTCAGTTATTTATTTAAATTTTATTTCTACTGCTTTTCAACAATTATGTCTTTTTTGATGGAAGGCTGTAGGTACCAGTGTACATGTGTGTAGATCATGGGACAACTTGTAGGAGTCGGTCCGCTCCTTTCACCATGTCTGTCTAAGGGATGGAACCTGCTCCTCAGGCTTGGCAGCAGGTGCTATTATGCACTGAGCTATCTCACCAGTTGTTTTATCAATGAAAAGGAGAGAGAGACAGAGACAGAGACAGAGACAGAGAGAGAGAGAGAGAGAACAATGATTATAAAACGATGAATCCAAGTAAGGATTCATCTTACTTGGTTGGTTGAAGGCATGGAAGGAGGGCAGGTCCCACGGACTCCACTACTCTAAAAGCTGAGATGTTTTAGATGTCCTGGAATACATGACCTCAGAGCTTTCCTTTCCTTATCTCATGGGCAAGGCTGCAGGCTTGAT